GAGACAGAGTCTTACTTTGTTGCCCTCAGTAAAGTGCTGTGGTATCACAGCTCACAGCAACCTCAAACTCTTGGGCTCGAGGGATTCTCGTCTCATCTTCCTAAGTAGCTGGGTCCACAGGTGCCTACCACAACACCTGGCTATTTTTTTTAGAGATGGAGTCTCGCTCTGGCTCAGGCTAGCTTTGAACTCCAGAGCTCAAGTGATCCACCTGCCTCAGCCTCCCAGAGTGCTAAGATTACAGGCATGAACCACGGTGCCCCTACATACCTGGCTACTTTCTTACTTTTTGTAGGGTTTGGGTCTTGCTATGTTGCTCAGCCTGGTCACAAAAGTTTGTGGTTCCTAAAATTATAACACCAATTCTTTCTATCAGGAACACACATCCACAAACTGTAGCTCTTAAGATAGCTGCCAGCCTCACTCAAGGGACCTGTTAGCAGAGCTGCCACCTTTGCCCAACACTTTCAACTCCTTGACAGTGAACATTCTCCAAAGAGCTCAGCACAGGCATCACGAAGGGTCAGAGTTTCACAATATCTGTCAAATGGAGAGTTCCTGGCAAATGAGGAACCAGACAGAGGAGCCAACAGAGAGAAAGTGGGTGAACCACAGATGGAATCCACATTGGCCATAAACATCAAGAGAAGATGTGCATCTTCTCAGTCAAAGAAAAATGACTTTACACAGTGAGACCCTTGCCACCATGGGGCTGGCCAAGCAGACCTAGACTGATATTGTCAGGGTTGACCAGCACAGAGAAAAATGGGCACTTGTGTATCTGGCCAATGACTGGCACCGGGGCATTTCTGTGGGTGGTTCAGCAGTAACTGCAGCCTCAAGCTTTTTCACTTGGTGGGATCTATCCTGAACACACACCACTCTCACTGGTGTACCCAGAGATAGCCATGTTTAAGTATTTTTTTGTTTCTTGTTCTGTTACCCAGGCTGGAGTGCAATGGTCTGAGCACAGCTAATGGCAGCCTTGAACTCCTGGGCTCAAGTGATCTTCCCTCAGCTTCCCAAAGTGCTGGGACTATAGATGTGAGATACTACATCTGGCTCAGATGTTCTTCTTGCTCTGTTGGGAAGTTCACTGAACTTTAGGGACATGCCTAGCCTGTGCCTCAGCCACTTCCTACCCTCTTGGTGCTCCTTGGTGTCACCTGGAATTTGGGGAAAGGTTAGGAGGCCTGAAAAATGATGTTACCTCAGCCTTTGACCCTGTGGACTTTGAGAAGTACTTGTGCACTTGTGCTGGCACCTCAGTTGGGCCCTGGGAATGAGGTTTAATTTTTTTTTTTGAGACAGAACCTCAAGCTGTCGCCCTAGGTAGAGTGCCATGGCATCACAGCTCACAGAAACCTCCAACTCCTAGCCTTAAGTGACTCTCTTGCCTCAGCCTCCCAAGTAGCTGGGACTATAGGCACCCGCCACAATGCCTGGCTATTTTTTGGTTGCAGTTGTCATTGTTGTTTGGCGGGTCCAGGCTGAATTCAAACCTGCCAGCTCTGGTGTATGTGGCTGGCGCCTTAGCCTCTTGAGCTATAGGCGCTGAGACAGGAGGTTTAATTCTTACGTAGCGCTGGGTTGATTTGGGTATTTCACATTCAGCCAGGAGGAGTTAGGGGGCAGTGAAGGTTCCAGCTTCTATGATGAACAGTGACAGGGCTGACATAATTTAAGAGGGCATATCTTTTCTTTAACTGAAGTATGAACATCAGAGATGAACTTTAGAACATGGAGCAAATCCTGAGTCAACCCACCCCTCAGGGCTGTGCTTGAGTTTAGCTAATTCTTCAGTATTCAGAAATTTGAGGGAAATGCCAGGCTCAGTGGCTCAC